ATTTTTTTTTCACCATGTTTCCAAATTCTCTACCCCAGGTCCAAAAGAAATGTAAAGAATGTACAAACTGAAAACATTAAATTATTTTGCAATCTATTTCCATTTGTTATTTTCAAAAGAGAAATACTGTAATGGATGTTTACAGAGCAGAGGTCACCTTTTTTTAATTCCAATTCCAATTCCTAATTTTTTATTATTATTTTTTGCTGTATTGTTGGTTACTGTGTTATTTCTGTTTCAAAAGCCAGCAATAAATAACACTTTAATATCTAAAGAGTGTTCATGTGATTTTATACATTAGTAATGTTGGGAAATTAATAAATGCATAATAATCGTCATAATCGTAAAACCGTGATTATTCCTCAGACAATAATCGTACCAACAAAATCTATAATCGTTGCATCCCTACTTTTGACCACTATTATGGATAGATTTTTCCTTTCCCTGATACCCTATATTTCTGTGCTCACTCCCAATGTCTTTTTCTGTACTTTATCTTATTCTCTTAGTCTCTGATTGTCTTTTTTCCACTTTTCCTTTTTGTACCTCCACCACCGTGTGCCATTAATCAGATAAAGTATTGCCACAGACATGTTATGGCTCTGTTGGATCTTTACCAGCTCACCCCTGTTTACTAAACCAGCACTCGCTGTGTGAAATCCTCTTTGTGGTGTTTATTGCTGATGGTTGGGCCACCTCAACACACTAATCTTCTTTGTCCCAGGGGTCTAGAAGCTTTAAAGCTGTGAAAAACTACCGCAAAGTGTCCAAATCCATGTCAGAGAATTACTGCACTTGGTTTTTTGAGCGCTTATAACAGTGAAGAGTAATTGAATTTAATCTTTTCTGCTCCCTTTAAAGCTGAAGTGGGCCATTTCTGCACCTGTTAGTGTCACCAAGTGTAATTGCAAAAAAGTTTTTAAATGTGTTTCTGAACAATGTGGATCCTTTATAGAAGATTATAGGAATGAATTTATGAAATGTCAATGGCAAGAGTGTTCGATTCTGCTCAGAAGTTATTAAAAATGTCCTGCCTTAGAGTTGTTATTCTCATGGCCTGGTGTGGCCACTCCTGTCTCTTGACGACAGAAATCAATGGACGTCCTTGATTTTGTGAAGAATTTGGGAACACTCAAAACAAACTCTCAAACCGACCTTTGCTCCATTCATCCCCACTGCTCAAATAAAACACATCTCTATTCTCTTGGGACGAAAACAATGACGTGTCTTTATTGCACAGGGACAGAACGATTGAATGTTGATGTCGCCACCAAGAAACTGATTTTGAATGGTTAAATATTTTTATGTGTATGTATCATTTTAATTTAAATTAATTTATGCCTTATATGTAAATTCTCGGTCAGTCCAGTAAATATGTTTTGACTTACTGATGCTGCTTAGAGACTTATCACTGCTTTTAGCAGTTTAAGCTGTTCCACTCAGGTGCATGGAGCGTGGTAAATTCAAATAAATATGCTTACATCATATAAGAGATGCTGTTTTTGTCTCCTGACCCCCTTAAACTTCTGTTGCTGAGGTCAGAATTACACATGCATGGCTTGTCACCTTAAGCCGTTTAGTGGCAACCTGAGTGCATTATAACAGTGAAGCATATATGAATAAATCATGCTGTACAGCATTCCCTTCTTTTGGGAAACATTCTTTTGCTTTCAGTGTTTATTTTTTATTTTCCTGGAACTGCATTTGTAACAAATTTGATAGTTCTGATTCAGCCAAAACAATTTTAAATATACGGTAATAGCAAAAACAGCATATGTATATATATATATATATACACACACACACACACACACACACACACACACAGTATTAGTGTTGGCATACTTGGACTCAGACTGCAATTAGGAATGAGCTTGGATGGACTTGAACACGAACTTGACTTGGACTTAGACATTTTGGATTTATTTATTTTTAAGTACAGTCAAATCCTTCTCATGTCTAACATGAAGGATAAAAAAAGCAACAACATCACGATTAATGCCATCTAACATCAAAGTTTTTAAATATAGTTTTATATTGCAATAATTTCTATCATCAAATTAATATAAAAACAACATAAAGACAATATACTTTTTTTATGACTGAAGGCAAGTTTCACTGATACCATTACTATTGTTCACTGATTACAATTGAAAGCAGTTCACTGAATTAGACAACTCTGGTCATGCTGTATGTTAGTTGTTGCATGCAAACAAAAAGGACAACACAAAAGGAGATGTTAAAGAAACCTTAACAGAACTGAACGTCACAGAAATCATCCAGTTACGAAAAAATTGAACCAGTTCTGAATGCAAACAATCCCAACTGACCCTTCGCAATGACCCGCCCCTCTTCATTACTGTTGCTATGTCTGACAAGCCATGCCGCTCTCACGCCTCACATCATGTTCTCACGCAGTGAAAAATACAGCGTGGAGCAAAGAGAAAACAATAAATGCTTTAATGTGCGCCTCAGTTCAAGTGGCACGTGAACCGATCATCTCTTCCTCTTTACTAGTTACAGCACAAAATAAACATGAATGAACATCAGAAGATGTTTTGTTTCAACTGCGGAAAGATGTCAATACACACTATTTTTCATGTTCAAGTCCACCCACGTTAATCTACTCTCCTGTCTGGTTTGTTTGTTGGACAAAAATGGCAGATTCGGCATTATGATTGGTCAGATCGCCTGTCAATCAAACTTCCTGCGAAGGGTCACTTTCCTTACTGTATTTGTTGTTTGGTTTTGTGCTGTAATTATTTCAATGAGATGTGCTTGTGTAACGACTTACTGTACTTCTGAAATCATACGTTTTTTTGTTGTTTTCAGTTCAGTGTGGTGTTCCTGACCACATCCTTCCGACTGTTCCAACCACGCAGCATCTGAACCGCTTGGCCGCTCGTCTCAGTTCAGAGTGGAAGTCTGTGCTGCTGGACCTGGGCCTGTCCTCTGCGGATCTGTACCGGTGCTGCGCCGAGCACCCCCTTGCGGTTCAGAGTCAGGTGCTCGCTGGGCTGGTGATGTGGACGCAGAGGAATGGAAGAGAAGCCACAGTGCGGCATCTGCTCCAGAGCCTGCAGGCCGCAGACATCCCGCCATCTGTCCTCCAACAGGTGTTTGTGTGACATAACAAGTCGTGTTTTTCTGGACTTCATTCTGCTCTTGAGCTGTAGAAAACACATGACAGACAGCGAAGGAAGAGAAACAGACAGTGTCCTTGCGTGACTTTTTGTATTTTGTTACAGGAATGTACTGAAACTCCATTATACATCTAATATGGCTAGAAAAATTATGAAATGTATTGTCATACTGTTTTTTATATATATTTAATATATATATATATATATGTTTGATTTGCCACAGAAATTACCCTTAAATATATTTTACACCTATTTTTGTAATGCAGATATTGCCTTGCTACCACCAATTTTGAATGAAGTCCATTGTTTATGTAGTTGTACAATATTTTCATGTTTATTCATGAGAAAAACACTGTTTTATAATGTTTTGATAAACACTGTTTCCTGCCCCATGAGGTGAGATGAGTTAAGACACTTTATGCTATTTTTATTTGAAACTATTTACCAGTTGCTTGCTGATACATGTTCTTAGTGGGGTCATACTTTTCATTTCTCATTCATAAACAAGCTGTTCTGCCCACTGATTCCACCCAGTAATAACACCCTGAAACACCCACATGGGATTTATGTTCTCGGACTGGTTACCAATTATTTTTTCATACTTTTAAAACACCATTTCTGTGCTGTTCATGGTAACACTTTAGTATAGGGACTAATAGTATAGTATTTTTAGCATGCATATTGGCTGTTTATTAGTACTTATAAAGCACCTATTCTGCGTGACCATATTCTACATCCCTAGTCCTCCAAACCTAACAACTACCTTACTATTAATACGCAGCAAAGTAGGAGTTTACTAGGGCAAAAGTGGTAGTTAATGGTTTGTTAAAATAAAGTGTGACCCAGTTCACTTATATTTAAGTAAGTAAAAGTTATTACGAGCTCAACTGCATGTATAATAATTATATGCAAGAATTTAAACATTTGAAAAAAACAAAAAAAGACATTTTATAGGACACGTTTGTTGAGATACTGTTTTCAACATAATCTCAAACTACTGCATCTGGTCTGCTGTCTTATTGTTTTTCTCTCCATCTGTCACTTGCTGTTTTTATTCAGTGCTGTTTACTCAAAGCGTAATGTAATCAATATTTACAGATCAGGTGTTTGTAATACGACACAGGTCATTTCCTAATCTCTCACTTATTAATCAGAGAGTGTTTGTGTGTGTGTGCGTAATACATGCCATCATTCGTAAACACTTGTACGCGTCAGTTTCTCCTGTGATTACCCGCTCCCTCCGCGTTTGTTATTGTCACGATTTTGTTTTCAGCTTTGTCTCCCAGATGCCACGTTATGAGACTTTGAATGCTTTCCTAGAATCTGAGCATGAAAGAGTTTACATTGATGTATAATTGACTTAGACCTAGTTAAATATAAATGGCCATCAACAGCCCCATTGTCCCTGAGGTGATCCAATAATGTGATGTCTAAGAAATCACAGACGACTTTTTGTGGTATTAAACGGATGGTTTGTGATGAATGTTTGATAAAGTAATCTGCATATGTCCCCTGTGGCGTTTTTCTTTTCTGAATAACTGACTATTGTCTTGCTACATGTGTACAAACACAGCTATCTGACACAGGCCCTCTGCCCTCAGATTTCCCTAATTCCAGGGAAGCATTTGGAATTCAGCTTAGCGTACGTTTTTTGTTCCGGTGTTTCTCAGAAATGTGCAGGGTATTGTAATCGCAGCCTTCAGTTGGGACGGTTGAAGTCATACCCATAAAATGATCTGTGTGCGGTTCAGTGGTTCAGAAAATTCACGTGTGGTGCCAAAAAATGCATCAGCACCCGTAAAAGCATCTCCTCCGCAGATAAAAATGCCTCCATGGGCTTACAGCATGTTTGTTCTAGATTTAAAGGTGGCCGAAGGCAAAGCGTTAAAGCAGCTCTTCAGCGAGCGATATGTCTTACTCCATTGAATTATAGCGGTGGTCACCCACATTCCCTGAACTCTGGAGGAAATATATACTTGAGGGTTGCTGTAAATGCTGTGGTGGGCCTTTCGGCTCAGGTTGCCATGGAAACCGGTTTTGGATGGTGTGGCATTCTATACCCTGTGGGCTCTTGATGGGTTGGTCTGCGTATCTGTTCCTCTTTTGGTGTCTGCAAATGGATGTCTGGATAGGAAGGCTAAGACAGGAATGTTTTTTCCTGATGCTGAGTTATGACATAAAATGCAATTATCTTTATCCTGCATTCAGATTGATTTGAATAATGTTAGGAGTTTAACTGATTTTGTGACATGATTGATAGCTAGCTGTAATTATTTACCATGCACTGGTGTTTTCTTTACCTGCTGGAACAAGATGTGTGTGTGTTAATCAAGATAGTAGCTTTATGAAAGGAAATGTTAAATGTGAAATCCCTCAGAACAGCAGTGAGTGAAAAGTGTAGTGCATGTTAGTTAGCCTTGAGGTCATATATATGCTTTAAGGAAGTCCATTGGTGTCTACATTTACAGTACATTTATGTATTTGGCAGACGCTTTTATCCAAGGCAACTTTCACTGCATTCAAGGTACACTTTTTATCAGTTTTTGCGTTCCCTGGGAATCAAACCCATGACCTTGGCTTTATAGTGCCATGTTCTATTGTTTGAGCTACATTAATGCCTTTGGGTAATAAAACATTGTGAGATAAAGTTTGAATAAAGCCTGTATATAGATGTAGTAAAAAGTGAAAAGTCACACTTTTGAGATATAAAGTTGCAGTTTCAAGTACAAGATATAAAGTCACTTTGAAATATACTGTAAAGGTATCAACAGTGACAAAATCATAAAAATTACAACTGAGTTATAAGTCATTTTGTGAAATATAAAGTTGCAGTTATGAGAAACAAAGGCATATTTGTGAGATAGTCAATTGTGAGATGTAAAGATATTTTGTGCGATACTGTCAAGTTGCAATTATGAAAAAGTCGCAATTGTTAAATATAAAGGTACTTTGTACACTGTAGTTTCACAAGTTCGTGTGCCCATATAATCTTAGCATTAATGGTAAACAGATTTGGCTTGATGTCTGCAATGGAGGGCTCAGAGAGACTATTCTACTCGAGCTATAGACAGAAAGATAAATAAATAAATATGCATAAAAGGAGGAGATGGGGAGGAGGAGGGATGCCGAAAGAACTAACAACGGAAGTGGTAAGAGGCTGTATTTATTAATTGGAAAATTTGATGGGCGTACTCCTCCTGAAATTACGTTAATAACTTCACTTAAATTACAAGAACAATTTGCAAATGTGTTTTATGTTTTTACAGTTGTGAGATTATAAGTTACAGTTACGAGAAACAAAGCTGCATTCGTGAAATATAAAGTTACAATTGTTGTGAAATGTAAAGGCATTTTGTGAGATCTGCTGTAAAGCCGCAATCATGAGAAACAAAGTTGCAATTGTGAGATATAAAGTCTCACATATACGAGAATCAGTCACATTGGCAATATGAAGTCACTTTGTGAGACTTGTACTGTAATTACAAGAAACTAAGGCGCCATATGTGATATATAATGTAACAATTATGATATATAAAGTTACATTCTGAGATTTAAAGTCGCAGTTATGAGAAAAAAGTCAACTGTGTGATATAGTCACAATTACAAGACAAAAAAATAGCAAATATACAAGAAATAATTACAAGTTAATATGTGAGACGAAGTTGCAAAGAGTTTATTTACTGTGAGGTGAAAACAGCCTATGCACATAAAAACTGACCAAATTGACTTTTAGCTGATAAACATTTCTCTTTGGGTCAAAATAAGCATTGATGATGGGGCACATATAAACGTTTGTCCAATCAAATACCCTTCAGATTGACAACATCCTTCCCCTTAATACCAGTTGCTCTGAGGGTTCACAATCATGGTGAACCAATCAAGGTTTACATCTGTGATGTAAATTAAGGCTATAGACTACTTTAAAAAGGAGCTTCTATACCCGACCCAAACTTCTTGTTTCAATAGAAAATACATCAACATGAGATAAAAACACTGCTCTTTTCACAGAAAGCAGTATTTAGTCATTCACAAAGCGCTTGACTTGAATGTTTGAAACTGAATATGTGGAAGTGCTGAAGGTTGTACGTAAAGGAAAGACTCTGAGCACTTCCTAGTGAATGCGCCAGAGGTCAAAGACTTCAGTAGTAAATTATATGTGAGATAATAGTGAAATTAAGTGGTCAGAAAGAACATTTAAACATGTGCATCATCTTTCTCTAGTCAACTGTGCACAGTAAATGCACAGGGGAGACTTTATCAGAGCAAACCATCACAGCTCCACACCTTCAAGTCCGGATACCTCTCTTATCATTTCCCGATCCTGTGTTTGTATGGCTTAATGGTCTATTCATGAATGAAGCATAAAGATGAGTGATAAAGGTCAAAGTCTCTCTTCTGTTGTCTGGATCACAGTCTATAGCATCCTCAAGTGACCTTCTGAAGAAGTCTTGCAAGGTATTATCTCTTTGTAATGGATTAACATGTGTTCCCATAACATGAGAAAAGCATCTGACTCTTCTACCAGGTTTAATGCAAAATGTTCAGTTTAGCTGATGTTTATTTTTCAGATATGCCTAACTTGTTTTAAGATATTATGGGTCCCAATCACCTTGCAGTTTTTCCAGGTTTCTATAATTACCCGGAGAAAGCTTCCTGTTAATTCCTATTCATCTCAGTGAACACTGATAGGAAGTATGTGAAATATACCATCTTTGGAACACTGGAACTTTTGAGCCAATCACTTGAGCCATAAATAATGTGTGATAAATGTGGCTACTTAATAAGTGTAGCTAGCTTAACCACATAAAATTAGCAAAGCTAATTCACATCACACTTCTCATACCATTGTCTTACAGTAGGCCTAGCCTGCAAAATATGCTACTTAATTAAAAGAACAGGAAAAACGGCAGGTTTTGTAGGGTTGTATATTTTTACATTTTGCATTTATCAATATTGTGATATTATGAATTGTATTTCTGAAAAGGCGCAAGAGAACGTGACGTTATATTTCGTCGTGCGTCTTGTGTGAACGCGGACTGACTTCGACGATTAAGACGAATTTAGTCGATTAATTGATTCAAAACTTGAACAACTCAAACTGTCCTGTTCATTCAATAGCAAGGAAGGCTACTACAGCATTCAAACCACTATAAACGA